GATATTTTAAACTGTATATAAATTCAGGATTAGATATAAATTCAGGATTAGACCTCTTTATGTCATAAGATCTATATACTGGGTCTGTGTAGACCTGCTTGGCAGATTTTTAAATCCTAATGTAATAAAGAGTTACTTTATTGAAAAATAAACTGTGTATTCTCTATATTTACTTTGATTTTTAGACAGAAAAGACCAAAGGAGTGATGGAAAATGCAGGTTCCTTCCAGATTGTTCCAGAAACTTGCCAGTGGCCCTCAACATAGTATGGTTGTTTTTTTTGTGTGTGTGTTCCTTAAACTAACATCTGGACCATGGAAACACTTAAAAACATGAATTTGAGAGGAAAGTTGTGTGCGTGTGTCTTTTTTTTTTTAAATAGTTTTCTATGATTTCGACACCCTTTTAAAAATGTAATATATTTTACTACCCACTAAAGACATTACTGTGTAAATGTTGATATAATTTGTATATCTGTATTTATTTATTAATGAATTTAAAAAAATAATCCAATATAATTTATATACCAAAGGAGGCAACTTTATTACGCAATTTTGGGTCGTATCCCACCTTCTGACGTGCGATTGGCCCTAATGCATGAATGGGGTGGACCTTGTATGTGACTAGCTAGTTAAATATCCAATTAAAATGTAGAGCTGTTAACGTCACTTGTTGAAGACCAATAGAAAATCGGCATGGATGGTCATGGGCTTGGTTTTATGCCTGTTTTAACGCCTTAACTGTCCTTTTCCCCGTCGCCTTACGCCAAGGGTAGGGGGTGTGCATAGGCAGAAACTAACCTATGCTTAAAACTTTCTTTAGTGAAAGTTCATACTTACACTTTTGTGTGTTTTATTTCTCCATTCACCCGCTTATTTGAAGCGCGTGGATTTTTTTCACCTGCTCTTTTTTTTTAATATAAAAAGCAACGTAACTGTTTAAGGTGAGTAAAGCCATTTTCCTTATATGATATATGATTTATCTAGTGGTGTTCGTGGCTCTAAACAGTAAATGATGTGTTGCTATCAGCCAAAAAAAAAAAAAAAATGCTACTAGTTTTAGAAATGGGTTTTTAGCTAGCGTTAGCTTTGATTGCTAAACAGTTTACGTCGTCAACAAAGAATAGTTTGTCATTTTCTGGTTTCTATAATAAAGTATGGTGTTTAACTTACATAGTACTTACAGACTTATGTTGTTGTTTCACTCTTATCTTTACTGTTTAAACTGTGTACTGTCACTTTGGTTTTCTGTGCCATGCTTTGCGTTAGCTCTCCTTTGGTGTGTATGGCAGGGACATGTCTCGACATGACGCCGGTCTTTGCCCTGACATACACAAGGCCTGCTGATGTGATACGGCTACATGTATTGTGGACTCGCAAACTAGCACTAGAGCTGTGGAACTCGTGTTTTACACACTTTTAGTAGCAGAAATGTCGCTTTAACTAAAAACGGAGAAACTTTCTTTAAGCATATCCCTGTTCTGTATTAGTCTCATTTCGCCTCCTGTTTATATACAGTCAATGCTCCTGTCCAGTCCAGTTTAGTCCAGTTCAGTGACGGGCATGTGTTAGCGGAAGGCTTGTTGCAGGATCTTGTTAGTAAACTACGCTCACTGTATTTGTTTAACCATTTTTGTTTCGGACTAGATGTCCTTTAAATACACCAGTCTAATATTTTCATTACGTGGCAGACAGAGCCTTGTCTTCTTAAAGAGACTAAGATGTTTATCAGAGTTATGTTAATACTTTATGCACATTTTATGGTCACACAGTTAATCCCAGTGTATATTTTGTTTGTTTTTTACTGTATCACTAAGTTTTATTTTCATGTCTGTGCAGATGATTGACACAGTAACAGGCCCTGTGGCACAGCCCTTTGCAGCCCAGCTGAAGGCCCTGATTGATCTGGAGGGCCGATACCAACCAAAGCTGAGTGGCTTGAGGTTCATTGAAAGCGCCCAGGACAATGGCCTCAGGATGACTTCCCGACTCAGGGAGCTGGAGGTGAAGGACCTGCTTTCGCTGACCAGGTTCTTCGGTTTCAGTTCAGAGAGCTTCTCGCTGGCTGTCAGTTTGCTGGACCGATTTCTGTCTGTCATGAAGGTTTGTAAATGCAGTACATTTTGCTTACCTTCTTAAAATCTTAGCAGTTGTTCCGTTCTCCAATATCCATTTCCCCATCTCCTACAGATTCAGCCAAAGCACCTTTCTTGTGTCGGTCTGTGCTGCTTTTACATCGCTGTGAAGTCCACAGAAGAAGAGAAGAACGTGCCTCTGGCCAATGACCTGATTCGCATCAGTCAGAATCGCTTTACAGTGTCTGACATGATGAGGATGGAGAAGATCATCATGGAGAAGCTCTACTGGAAGGTGAAGGCCCCCACGGCCCTGCGCTTTCTCCGCGTCTTTCACAGCCACGTCCTGGAGCAGCTCGACGCTGAGAGGTAAGGACAGACGGTCACACCAACCTGCAGGGCTGAGCTATGACTCAACGAGATTATATTTACTCTACTAAAATGTGTCTTCTCATATTTGGTTTGAAAGCTAACACTAACCAAAAATATATTTTTTTAGCCAACAGGCACAGTCCTGTTTGAAATCGTGTAGACTTTTAGACATGTGACAGGGTGTTAGAAAACAAATATGCAAGTCCCCCCTTTTCAAACGTTACCTTTTAAAATCCTTTTGGTTGGCTTTTTTATCACTATTTATGTAAGCTGTACTTCGCATTCAGTTTGCTTTGACACTAAAAGCATTTTTTCCCTTTAGCATGAAGATCCTGAGTCTTGAGAGACTGGAGGCGCAGCTGAAAGCCTGTCACTGCTCATTTGTCTTCTCCAAAATAAAGGTAAGCCAAAACAACTACTCTCTCCACATTGAAAATAATGACTTATTTCAATGCTTTTCTGTGCTTTTCATTAAAAATCAGACTGCTTTTGTCTTGTACACTTCTCGTTTGTTGTTGTATTTCAGGTATAATGTAGGTCATCTGCGTCGATTTACTTTTAAATGTTGTCATAGTTTCTACTTTTCTTTTTTTTTAACAAGAGACTGTGTTTGTGTTTCTGTGCAGCCATCTCTGCTTGCCCTGGCTCTCCTGTGTTTTGAGGCCCATGATGAACATGACCCAGAGCACCTTGACAAAATATCTGAGGCCTTGAGCAATCTGCAGCAGCAGCTAAATGTAAGTCCAGCTCTGAGCCTTTTGCTTTAAAGAATATATACGAGCAGTTCAAACTAATCCTTATTTTAAACTGGGCCTCAGAAGACACAAGCCCTTTATGCCAACGTTCTTCTGATTGGTTGCCCCTAGCAGGCAGAAGGTTTAAACAAGTCAGTGGGACTTGTGTGCTCATGGCTACACCCGTGTGCCTTATTAGGAGCAGGTCCGTCTTATCAATATACAGGTCAAAGAGTAGGAAAAACTATCAAAATGAGCCTTTGCTCAACTCAAACCAAAATGGCTCGTTTTTAACATTATTGCATATTGGTGTTTTTGTCTAACAGTTAATATAAGGTGGTGATGATCCATGCAGTGTAGCTTAATGAATTTTAATGCTTCTTGCAAAGTGTTAAGCAGAGAAAGATGTGACGCCTCATTCCTCTTTCCTGCAGATCAAAGACGGGGATCTGGTTTGCATGCGGGAGCTAGTTGGAAAATGCTTGGCTGAGTACGCCACCACTAAGTGCTGCAGACCAAACGTCCAGAGACTTCGCTGGACTATTTCGGGAAGAACTGCACGTCAGCTGAAGCACAGCTATTACAAGATCACTCACCTTCCCACCATACCTGAGTCAGCTTGTTAAAACCTGGGTGTCGAAGTGGGTGACTTTACATGGAAAGAAAAATTACAGCATTACCACTGTTACATCTTTGTCCTCTGACTGGATGTAACATGCAGTATGGTCACCCACTTACAGCTCCAGCTTTATTTTCCTTAGAGACCTTCATCTGTGATGATGGATGTCTTTAAGGAAATGCTTTTTTATCCCTTAAGTTTGTAATCATATGTTGATCAGACACACATTTTTCTATCCCTATGACAAGGAGTAATTCTTCCTCAGAAAGGTTGAAGTTTTACTTTCTTGGTTGAGCCGTTTGCACAGGTGTCTAGTATGTTCTTGTTTAAATCCGTACCACGGTGTTTGGTGTTTCCCTGGAACGGGTTGCTGGTTTTAAGCTAATAAGTATAGAACCACCTAGGTCCTCAGTCCACCATGTGGAAGAGGAGGGAGAGGGATTTTGTGAACAGCAAAAAATGGAACCAAAAGATCGGGCCCAAAGTCCTTCACTCCCACCCTAGGTTGCTAAGCTGTCCTGAATGCACACTCCTACCCAAGGTGATTTTTTTTTTTTGTTAAAGAAAACATTTTATTTTGATGTGACGAGGGAGCTCTGGTTTGTACCAGGGAAATGAAGCTAGTGATGATCCTGTTATCTACAGCTCATCAGTGTTTGAGATGAAACGTTACCAACGGTTACAGATGAGTTGTTTTCACCAACTCTTAATTTGTGGACAGTGTGAAGCACCACAAATATACTGAGTTAAGTTGTTAGTTTTTTAGAGAGCACTCAGAAAACCCCAAAAAAGGTCATTGCAGTGGAAATTCAGGTTGAAATTTATATCGCAGTTTCCCTGTTTAGTTTGATTTTAGTGACAAAACAAAATGTGGTCTCAAATTCAAAATGACTGAATACGCCATCTGATTAACCTATGTATTTGTACCTTTCAATAAAACTTTATTGAAAAGCTATTGCTGAGTGCACTTTGTTTTTATTAAAACATGTCAGAAAATTCTCATAACGAGAGTTATCAACTTCCTTTGTAGAGCCTTCCCACTCCCCACATCTGGTTTGCACAAAATCAGTCCTTTGAGGACGAGACCAATGATGTGACAGCCAGGCTTTTTAGTTCGTCTCAAGGCAAATTCTTGTCACAGTAGACCGAATGAATCCACTGTTGTTCTGCATATTGTGCATGATGGGCAGAGGTAACTCCTCAAGCATGTACTAGCATCATGGTAAGGGTCACTTCTGTAAGCTGGAAAAGTCTGGACCGCCACCGGCAAAATTCCCAGAGATCTCTGCACCGCTGAAGTCAAATCCAGGATTCTAACAAAGGAAAAAAAAGAGTCAGTAAGACATACTGCTGATTGTTAATCTGTAATTAAGATTTTCTGAGGATAGATGTATCTGAGTTTAAGAAACAGATGTAAGAAGACAAACTCATCACTGAGAGCTCATCTCAACAATTTCCAGAATCACAGCAGTAACACTGCAATGAGTGTTTAATAAAGTCTAAAGACACACTTATTAGGCTAGTTAGTGATAGTAAACTAGCCACAGGTGTGCACACAAATGGTTGGTAGTCTCACCGTTAGCCCTGCAACAGACTGGTGACCTGTCAGCCTCTCACACAATATCAGCAGAGAGACTTCAGCTCATCCTGATTTGGATAAATGGTTAAGAAGATGAACTGATGAATGGATTGCTTGATAAAGGGCTTTGAGGTTGAAAGCAATGCCTTCATTAACTTAACAGATCATCGCCTTTAAAACATTCTCAGGAATGAGCTCTGACAGGCAGACTTTCAGAACCCCTTACAGGTTACGCAAAAAATGTAATATGTTAAAAGTCAGTGACTCAACACACTGCCACATAATTGCAAGTTAGCAATGTCGCACATTACATCAGAAATCTATTGTAATGAGGAAGACATTTTCCAATCTTTTCTTCGAGCTGAAGTGTTACTGCTAATCCTACAACTCAAAGAGCATGTCAGCTGCATTTCTGAGAATTAAGGTGGCATGGTTATTTTTTTTCTCCTTAGCCTACCCAGAAATGACCATCACAGAGTTCCCTTGATTATTTCCCTTCATTATTTATGGATTTGCTTCATTTATAAGAAAAACAGATTTATCACAACCTGGGGACTGAGTTATTATTAATGGATTGGAAATGAAAACATTAGTCCGCTGTCTATATTTCAACAATCCAAAACATACACCTGTTTCATTACACCTGTCCAACTGCTCGTTAATGTGCATATCTAATCAGCCAATCACATGACAGCAACTTAATACAGTTAGCCATACACACATGGTCAAGATGATGTGCTGAAGTTCAAACTGAGCATCAGACCGAGGAATAAAGGTAATTTAAGAAACTTTTTTGGAATATTTATATTTCAGAAACTGCTCATCTCACTGCAATTTCCCCACAGACCCGGGGACATGGTTTGAAAAAGAGAAAAGATCCAGTTATTGGCAGCTCTGTAAGAAAAAATATATTGTTGATAGTGGAGGTCAGAGGAGAGTGCCCTGACTGCTTCAAGCTGCAGGTAGCAGGAGCTTCAATAACTCAGTAACTACTTGTTACAACCAAGATATAGAAAAGAGTTTCTCTGGAAACACAACACGCTGAAACTCAAAGCAGATAAACTACAACAGCAGAAGACCCATCCTGTCAGCTAAGAACAGGAAACTGATGCTACAATTCAAACGGGCTCAAATTGGACAATAGTCTCAATCTCTGCTGCAACATTTGGATGGATCCACGTGGCCCTGTATCAAAAGTTCAGACTGCTGGTGGTGGTGGTGATGGTCTAATAATACTGGAGATAGGCTGTGGTGTTTAAATTATGCTCAACTGGTACTAATGAGCCCACAGACCAAAACCTGAGTATTTGTGCTGACCATGTCAATCCCGTCATGACCACAGCGTACCCATCTTCTCATGGCTGTTTCCATTAAGATAACACACCATGTCACAAATCTCAAATCATCTCAAAGTGGTGTCTTAAACATGACAGTGGTCTCAAATGGCCTCCACAGTCACCAGCTCTCAATCCATTAGAGTACCTCTGGGATGTGGCAGAACTGGAGATTCACATCATGAATGCTGACAAATCTGCAGCGACTGTGTGACGCTATTATGTCAACATAGAACAAAATCTCGGAGGAATATTTTCAGCACCTTGTTGAATCTGTGCCATTAAGAATTAAAGCAGCCCTGAAGGCAAAATGGGCTCCAAACCCAGGCAGTTGTAAGATGTGTACCTAATGAAGTGACCAGTAAGTGTATGTAAAGCCTTTAAAAGTTTCCTTTTTAGAAGGTGGTCCTAACCTGGCTGAAAAAGTAGCAGCTGTGCAGTAGAAGAAATGTATTAGGGTTACATGCGTGCAATATACAACAGTCATTAGGATGTACAGTAGAGTTGACGGTGCTACAGAGGTCAGTGAATCAAACTCACCTCTCGCTGAAACCTCTCCAGAGTGAGTTTTCTCTGCATCTGGTCTTGGACCCAAGCATTCGCACAATACTCCCCCTCCAGCAGCGAGGACCAGCAGTTCCCTGCTTCTCTGTTGGTCTTCATCAGAATGATCCGGATAAGACATTTATCCTCTGAGGAGATGATCAGCAAAGCAAACAATGCATCAAGCTGGCTCTCATTAAACTCTAATTTGGTAGTTTTGGAGACTGTCTCCTTTCTATTTGACCATTTCTAATTCAAAAATGAAATAATACAAAGGGTGAACATAAAGCCCCCAGTAACTTAACATAAGTAACAGAAAGACATGAAGTCTTAACACAGCCAGTCAACAGCAATCATTAGAGTTATAAGGATAGTTATTAATTCCCTTAATATTTCTGTGAGTGTGTCACTTACCTAGTGTCCATGTGGCCTCATCTGATACAGTTGTTCCAAATAACTTTCCCTGGCAAAAATAAAAAATAAAAATAAAAAATGAATAATATTTTATATAAATAATAATATCCGTTTTATTCATATCAGCACACCTGGACCTGTTCTTGGAAGAGTTGAAAGACCTGCACATGATGACACGACAGGTCTAGCTGCGTTACAGCAAAATATAGTGAAGTTACATACTCTGCGTACACACAACAGCCCGACTGATTTCATTGTACGGTATCAAACACTGCTGATTAACTGTGACGTTGACTTTTAGGTCCAACTGTGATAAGTATGACGGAAAGGGGCTACATGAATGGTCTTACAAGGCTGGATTGTGTTTACTGGTTAGTTCAGTCACTGGGTAAGAGAGGGTGAGAGTGGGGTGGAGCTGGAGGATACACCAGGAATCGCATTATCTTACTTTCTGCAAATAAAGATCACAGCATGCAGGTTCATCTCGGGACCTGGGAGTCACTTTGGTGCCCTACCTTGAATATTTCCTTTCCCTTGACCAACAGCTCGATGTCTCTGGACCCCAGGTGACACTTGACCTCTTTAGCAGTGGTCCCGTGAGGCACGTTGACTTCAATGAAGACCTCCTCCATGGTCTGGTACCAGGAGCCCCATGGCGTCTTGCAGGGGACGACACCGCTCCTCTCCTCGAAGTGTACCGACATGCTACGGCTGCACGCCGGCTCACGGGTCGGCTAACCTCCGCTGACCAGCTTCCAGCGTGAAACCGAGCAGGTCGAAGATACGCTGGAGGCTTGCTGTGCGGTTAACTGTTACAGTTACCTATATGTTTTTTTTTTTAACTTTAAAGGACTGTTTTTAAGTTGGTGTATCTCACCTCTCCCTGTGGTGTTTTCCCCTCACAAGCTCCAAATTTCTTCTTCTTCTTCTCAGTCTCGGTGTCATTTCCGGTTGTGAAAATCACGGAAGCTGCAGCGCCATCTACTGCCCGATAGGATGAACCAGTAATTAGAAAACCTTGCTCCCATGAGACACACCATAGACTCTTTAGCTAGGATTTTTCTTTCTTTTTAATGTTACTGAAATGTCACGTGTTGTATTTATTTCCTGTTTTTAATGTTCCTATTTTAACTATTATTAGTTAGTTATTTTAACTAAATAAAGCAGCTAAAGCCGGAGTTTTTCTAAAAATGGAGTGGATTTTCTAATCTGTTAATTAGATTACTCTCCCTGCCTCGTTGCTTCCTGCGTCCATATGCATACCTACTGGTAACTTTAGCGACACATAAGCAGAAATCCTGCTCTGAAGTGGCTCTTTTTTCTTTTTTTTCTTTTTTTTCTTTTTTTAATTTTATGAACTTGTGAAACCTGATTCAAAACCAAGGATGGCCGTCCCTTCATTAACGTTAGCTGCTTTTATCTGCTGGATGAGGTAAGTCCTGTCTGTGGAGTTAAACGTGGAGCAGAAAGCAGTGATCGTGCGAGTTTAAGGTTTGATTTTCTCTCTGCAGTCTAGGTAATGTATGGGGAAATGAAAAGATATACTCAGACAACATCACTCGCATTCTGGACAGACTTCTAGATGGTTATGACAACAGACTGCGACCCGGTTCTGGAGGTAATTTAAACTTTATGTCCTAATGCCTTGCTCCTTCGAGATAAAGACATTATGCAACAGCACTTTTTGTGCTCTTAGGTACATTTTGCTTTTGTTAATTAATGTTGCAGGCGGTGTCACCGAGGTGAAGACAGACATCTTTGTCACCAGCTTTGGACCTGTTTCAGATGTTGAAATGGTAAGATAGTACTTCTGTCAGGAAGTGTGTATGTGCTGACTGTGGGAGATAATAGTGCTTCAGTGACCAGCCTTATGGGCACTCTGCCATGAGACCATCTAATGAGCTTTAATCTGTTTGACCAGCCCTATAACTCCGTTATTGATGGCCTCTAAATCAATATGACAACATGTCAGAGAGCGAGGATGGCTGAGTGGATTGATTAATGATTATCCGGGATGAGTGGCATCCATCACTGCCTCATCGTCTTCCCTCACCTTTCACTCTGTATTGAAATGTCGCCTCGGTCTTGTGCGTGCTGATGAATGGAAGAAGATAGAAATTTCATTCTTGAATCTGGGATTGTAGTTGTGGGTTTTTTTTGTATCAAAACAATATTACGTTTGTGCCTCAGGAGTACACCATGGACATGTTCTTCCGCCAGATGTGGGTTGATGAGAGGCTGAAATTTGAGGGCCCCATTGAAATCCTGCGGCTGAATAACCTCATGGTGGACAAAATCTGGACGCCAGACACTTTCTTCAGAAACTCCAAGAAGTCCATTTCCCATAACATGACCACACCCAACAAGCTCTTCCGCATCATGCAGAACGGGACTGTCCTTTACACCATGAGGTGATTTTTCACAGTGAACGTGTAGTTTTGTTCTTTGTTTTTTTTTGTTTGTTGGAGCAGATCATCTTTGCTAAACACAAGACCAAATCAAAACATTTATCAGAGACTGATCCCAGCTCCTGCTTTCAGGCTCACAATCAGTGCAGAGTGTCCAATGAGCCTGATGGATTTCCCTATGGACGGCCACTCCTGTCCTCTGCGGTTTGGAAGCTGTGAGTATTTCAGACCAACGCTAGCATCCAGGAATATCCAGATTGATAAATATGACCAAACCTTGAGCATGTTGGTGTGATATTTTCTTCCTGTTTTAGATGCATACACCAGCAGTGAAATTTTATTTACCTGGAGGAAGGGGCCAATAGCTTCCGTGGACTGTCCCAAAGAGTCAATGAGTCTTCTGCAGTACGATCTTGTCGGACAGACTTTGTCCAGGGAGATATTCAAATCAAACACAGGTAATGCAAAAAAACAAACAAACCTATTTTCATAAGCAGCCTATTATGGCCGTAGCCACATATACAAGCATAATTAAAAGATCCTCAAGTGTTTATTAATGTTTGAGTAGAAAGGGGTCAAATGAGTGTCTGCAAGCCCTGCACTAGTGTCCATTACTCCCCGCAGGAGGCCAATATTTAAAAGCAAAGACTTTCTTGAGCCACCATCTAAGATGCTTAAGTGGTCAGGCCCTAATGCGTACCGTGCACCTTAATAGAATAGAATAGAATAGAATAGAATAGAATAGAATAGAATAGAATAGGCCTTTATTGTCATTGTACATGTACAACAAAATTCTGGGTGCTCCACATCAACTGTGCCGGAATAAAATATAAATAGTAAACCGCTTAAAAACCGTGTAGAACCCCAGTGGATGCTCAGGCGGGGTGGGGGGTGAGTTTTATGTGTGTGCAGTTTCTCTTTTTACCAGGAGAAAGCCTCCCTGCTGTGAATCCAGCACATTCCTCGAATGGAGCAGAAAAGGATGAGGCAGGCTCCAAAATGTAGCGATGATACACATTTAAGAAACACAGAGTGAGACAGAGGACGTCTAAATAAGTGTGTGTGAGCGTGCATGATGCAGCACGTTTTCGGTCTGTGAATGTCTGCATGCATGTGTTCAGACAGAGCAGGGCAGCAAACACATAGTGGCACTGCATGCTCTCCGCCAGCCCCCACCTCACTGGCTCCTTCCCCCTCTTCCTCTTTCCTTCCTTCCTTTTTTTGTCCCACTGTCTTCTCTCCTCTCTTCCTATCTCCTCTTTCTTTTGCTCCCTTAGACTTAGCAGCCTGTTCCTGTCCTGGCAGCATCAATAACTGGTTCTCTCAGCTGCTATTCCCTTTTGAAGGGCAAGCAAGGGCATCCGTTCTGTGCGACCACGCTCTGTCCCTCACACTCGCTGTCTTCTCACGTGCTGTTTATCTTGCAGGTCACTACTCTGTGCAGGTGGTCTATTTTCACCTCCAGAGGAAGCTGGGCTACTACCTCATACAGACCTACATCCCTCTTATCATGGTTGTCGTACTGTCACAAGTCTCTTTTTGGATCAACAAAGAGTCTGTTCCTGCACGCACAGTTGCTGGTATGCCCCCTCTTCCCTCATGCCCAGTTTGATCTAATCTCCCTCTGCATGTGTGATTCATGAATACTCTGCTGCCCTTCAGGCATCACCACAGTGCTGACCATGACCACCTTAAGCATCAGTGCCCGCCAGTCTCTACCTAAAGTAGCCTATGCCACGGCAATGGATTGGTTCATTGCTGTGTGTTTTGCCTTTGTGGCGTCAGCTCTCGTCGAATTTGCGGCAGTGAACTACTTCGCCACCTTGCAGGCCCACCGTCTGAAGAAGAAGGCAGCCAGACAGGAGAAGCTTGAGGTCCTGGCCACCGGCAGCGATGATGGTGACACAGTTTCGGTAAGCAGTTTTCATATTAAAATGTAGAAAAGCTGTATATAACTTCTTTAAAGGGGAACCCTACTGATCTTTCCACCAGAGGGCCTGATAAATGACTCAAAAATGAGCAAATTTCATTGGGGTGAGAACAGAATGAATCCTCTTTAGCCAGCTCCTCAGCTCTGTGGGATAACGGTTACAAGCTACATTTACTGTTAAGAGCTAGTGTGGCTGGGGTTTACTGTGGGTAATGCAGTCACCAGATAGTGTTAAGAAAGATTAATGTAAAGAAGCCATTTCTGAATCTGAACCACCTATTTCGATGCGTTTTAAAAGTCACTGTCAAGCACTAATGCTTAAATGTTTAGGGTCAATTAGAAATGTCTTGCTTTTAAAAGAAAACTACTTTTTACATTAAATCGATCAGAAATAACAAAAACTGATAAATGGAATTATTAATCATGATTTTTAATGCATATGTGGGTGGCATTTTCAGCAATCGTGACACTAATGGCACTTTCATCATCTAATGCAAGTTTATAATGCTGAAAACATTACACTCACACTAATACAAGCGGCAACACATTTAGTGAGTGAGTGTGTGAGAAATCAGCCCCTGTGCTTACACTGTAGTTTTAAAAACCCCACATTTTTGTAGAACAGTCATTATTCTTGATGTGAGAAATGAAGGCTATTCATGTGGGACCCTGACATAAAACCTCTGGTGTGTACTACTTCCTACACAGAACAGGACCGCCGTTTCTAACCTGAAAAAAAGAGAGAAGTGGAGATCTGAGCAGCTGAGTCGTTAGTCTGAGAAACGAACACCTCACAGGTCCTCAACTGGCAGCTTCATTAAAGTGCCAGATTGTAGCGGTTGGAAAGAGAGTAGTACACTCCTTTGTGTGAATTTTCTTTTGGGCACATTTTCTTGTGTGGTATAATCTTCATTCGCTTGGAAAAAGACCAAATTTATATTTTCAGGTTGAATGTGAGACTCTAATCAACTCCACAGGGGCTCAAGGTCCAGACAGTTCTCAGTGGAGTTATCGTAAATGAGAAAAATTATTTTTCGTGATAAATCAACCTTTACATTGGATAAACATAAAACAGGCTTTTATAGATATTCCAATAAAATAATTAAATCAAGGATGTATAGTTCTAATTCCATCCGTTATTAATTGTTATATTAGAACAATTTGCTTTTCTTTCAAAACCATGGTCATTACCGAGTAACCGTAATGCTGAGACGTAGTGTAAGTCTCGCAGTGGTGTAATGGAGCAATTCTAAATATGTAGTTTAGATTAACCTGATCTTTTAAGAGATAATCCATTTTTTCAGCAAAGCAATACAGCAAAACTGTATACTGTATGTTTTAAAGGCTATATCTGGGAATGCACTTATTCATTTTGTTGCTAAGAAGGGATATGTTGCCAAGATGCAGTGAGTTTCCACTTATGAACATGGAGACTTGTATACCCTATAGGCTGCATCTTTATAGCCAGTTTCATGAGTTGACTGGATAAGTGTTGTCTTAAAAATTTTTTATAGGAACACAATGCTCAGTTACATCATCTTTTCCACAGTGTATTTACAGTGCTAATAATGGCAAATCTATAGGTACAGAGCCTCCGAGTCTCTAGTTGATGCAGTGATGTTAGTGACGAGCAGACAGTCAGCAGCTGCAGAAGCAGAAAAAAGAAACCATGTCACACACACGGCTCTTTTTCTATGCATTTCCAAGTAGTCCCCCTGCCTCTTTCGCTCTTCTCACTTGGGGCACACCATGCATTAAAAAGTAATATGGGCTGTTGTGTACTCTCATCTCTGGGCTAGCTATATACTGTCTGCTTTATGCTAATACAGTTGGCCACCCCGGTGTCCTCCTGGGACCTGCCTCACGTGTAGATCTCATGGTTAGATGCTCGCTTTAAAAATAGCTTCAGTGTGAGAACAGAGAGCAGCTCCAGCACTCCTCCCCGTGTGATCTCACAGCCATCATATATGCATCCTCAAAACTTCCTGCTGCTTCCTATAGAAATGTAGAGATGCATGCCGTGGCGAGAACGCTCCTGTGGAAACAAACACGGCTTGCAGCCTTGCATACACGACACTAACATGTTAGCATGTGTTCCCATTTATAAATTTGGAGGTTAAAAATCTGCCCTATCTCTCTTTTTTTTTTTTTTTTTACATCCACCCCCTCCCTTTCAGTGATTACCACAAAACCAACACTTACCTCATTTTACCTCTTTCCGTTTTTCCACAAAATCATTCCTGCTGCTCCCCCCCATCAGTCGGACAGCAGCCCCCGGGAAGGCCTGAAGAAGAGAAACCACTCAGTGAGCCGCAGTGAGCCAGGAGATATTCCCCATATGCCCATTTTCCTCCAGCAGGGCTCAGCCATTCCCCAAATCCCACAGCTGGCCGGCACCAGCCCTATTGATGCGTATGCCCGCATCCTCTTCCCCCTTTCCTTTGCTCTCTTCAACTTGAGTTACTGGTATATCTATCTGGTCAAGGACACAATGGAGAAGCCCAGGTAAACATCCTGCTCTTAATTATACTGGTACATCTATTTTTGTCTACTTGTTATGTCTAATAGGGCAAAGGCAAAGTATATAGAAGTCCAGACATTTAAAAGGTAAGTAATCATCAATAATTCGTGAAAAAAAAACAAGGTGGAAACGAAATGTGTGATGCCAAGCATGAGCTTATTCATCTGTGCTAGAGAGCTCCATTTTGGTCCAGACACCACTAAGCACAAAACTAAGACACATCTGAGTACATCTGCTAAAGGCTGCACTTTTATTTCAGTGCATCAGAGAGGAAATGGGCACCACTGGCTTTTGCCCTAACATGATAAATACATTTTCCAGTTCAACAAAGAGTTTCTCTTCTTTCCTTTTCACGCTGCTTAAAATAACAGGTATAAATAAAAGACATTGATTTAAATTAGACCACAGTCCCCTTCAAGATGGTCTCCTCGAGCAGCTCTGCATCGTTCCTAGCGTTCCTGCTATTTATGGAGCTCAATATTCAAGTTCTGACCTTCATTTTGTGGCTAATTACAAGCGACAGGAGTTTTTAAGCAGATGACTCCACAGAGCGCAGCCAGGGCTTTCACAGGGTTGGATCACAATGTCCTGAGAGGTCTGAGGGAGAACATGCGCCGTTGTGCTAACAGAGGATTCAAAATGCAGCGGTTTTAGCCACAGGACACAATCTGCACTCACTCTACCCCAAAATGAAATTTTACTTCAACAGTGCACCTTAACAGACTCACACATGCCAAACGGTTTGGACAGGACATCTGATCTGGGGAGCGATCTAAACATAGCGGGGGACATAAAAGTGGTGCAGCGCTGCACAAGTAGACTGTGGGTTTGCTGTTTTGAATATATTCGTAAAGATTATCCAGACAAGATAACCTTATGAAAAAGACACAACTTTTCAAATGTATTTCTCCTTGTTTACATCTCAATGTAAATGGTTAAATCTTACCTTCTGAGTCATGCTGAAAGCAGTGAAAATGGCTGACATAGAGTTGGAGGGTATCCGGCATTCTGCAGATGAAGTTAAAAACATCTTACGGTCTCAAAAAGCCACAATCCTGTCTTCCTCATATAATAGTTTCAGTGGAACCATAACTACCCACAGTTTTTGTCAAACACTCATCTAGGCAGTAAAGACATCAATAATTTCTAATGCTGAAACAGCCCCGGGAGCTGTAGGCGAAAAAGGAAAAAAAAAAAGGAAAAGGAGAATGATGTTAGGTGGCGTTGCTGCTGCATTGATGCCAGCGCTGAGGCTTTTATCATCATCATCATAGATTTACAATACAACAACAGGCTGGACTCTCAGCTAATTTGAGAGGAAAGTAAGCATCACGCTCTGGTTTCTTTTAAGTAGGGTTTACCTGAGGGAGGGTGGCTGTGTTAATGACAACAAACCTGAGTTTACTTTGTGCATCAACCACACGAACAAGCTTCTCTTCTTCACTTTCCCACCCATAAGTGAGCCACTTATAGAGCGCAAAGCTCCATGTCCAAGGAAAAAGAGAGGTACAGTACAAAAAGACAGAGAGAGGCCGAGGGAGAGATGGTGGGGGAGAGACAAGGAGAGGGAGAGATCTGTTATGTAACACTGGGGAGTGCAAATCTGCTCATCATGCTTCTCATGTTCCTGTCAGAGAATTTTTATGGTTGTTTTGTTTATAACGTCCTGCAGAATAATGAGAGAGACAAGATGGAGAGCATGAGAGCAGCTGCATCACATCTCTCCCTCTTTATATTTTCGCCATGTCTCTCGCCTGCTACTTTTTTCTTTTTCTTTTTTTTTTTTAAGGAGAGGACAGGGAGCACGGTAACAGTTTTGGCTGTGCAGTATACTGCAGAGAGAGCATCTCTGAATGTGGAAACAGAGAGGCTTCTGTACACTCTGCTCACACCCCCCCCTTCCACTCTGCTGTATTCTGGTGTTGCAGGGTTATGGAGCTAGACTGAGAAGACCTGGAAAAGGGCATGTGCAGCCTGAGAGACCTTCAGCATCCAGCCGGCTTCACCTCACCCTCCTCTGCCTCAGCGAACGAGCTCTCAGCATTCACTGTGCTCTCATCTGACAGAGGAAATGAATCAGAAACTCATTTATTCTCCCGCTGCACATCTATTCATTTCACAGGCTATGACCACTGCCCACTTGTGTTCTGATCAGTAGCTGAAGAGCCGCCCTTTCACGGGCCTCGGCCACTTTAAAACCCCACCGCGGCACACATGACAACTTCTGAGACCCCCGGACCGAAGCTGACGACACACACACACACGGTATGCATGACGCCCACACACAAACCAAGAAACACATCAAAAAGATGTGGATGATATAATCTATGATGGCTTTAACTGGTGGTGATGCAACAGTGAACCAACACTTTCAGAAGCCTGCCCTCTACAGAAGCACAGCTCCCACTACAACAACATCAAAGGCAATTTAGAGGAGGCTGCATCCCTCCTTGAAGGCTCAAAAATGTACTGAAACCTGAAAAAGAAGAAGAAGAAGACTTGTGGGCTTGTGTTTTCCATCCCACATTTCTGCTTTGGTGCTCCCCTTGCATTTCCAGAAGTACAGCAGGTCCTCTGGAAACACTGCAGGGAGGAGTACGATATATACCCATGGGTGATGGTGGTATTCTTTTCCTATTTTTGTATGTACGATGCATAAAAGATAGTTGTGTAAAGGTAGACTCGTGTACGTGTGATGGATTGATTCTGTTTTTCACCACTCAATATATCCGGTAAGATGAAAACAGAGGGAATAAAGTTGTTCTTAACTTAATGTGACCATTTTAAACCCTGCAGTTTATCCCATTCTTCGACCTTGTCAGGAAATAGACAAACTCATCTGCCGTGTAATCAGCACGAAGAATAAAAGCAGCCTAAACGAACGCGGTTGTCGGTGTTTTCATTCCTGCCACAAACGCTTGTTTCTTCATTACGCACATTCACTTGTCCCTTTAATATTTTTCTCTGCAATGGAAACTGCTCATCCACCATCATCAGTCTCCACTCTTTGATCTTGGGCTGGCTGCACGCATGCGCCCCTCATTGGCTCCTCTGCACTGTCTGGAGTAAGTTGGATGTGCGCTCTTCTCACTCGCATCCCGAAGGCGCCTCAAAAACTGTTGCGATGGGGAGGATCAGGAAAAACCACTTTGGGATTTTGACTTTTTCTTTACTAGTGACTTTTGTGTGGGCTCAAAGGTAATCTCGTTTTTTGCGTCTGTGTGTCTTGCATGCGATTTTAGCTCTGTGAACGCGTGCCTGGCGCGTGACATTAATGCGCTATTTTTTTAATATGTGGTTCTTTTCTTGCATTACACCACCCTTTTCTCCGCAGCGTCAAGGATATCAAAGATCCGAGCAATATGCCTCTGGTAAAAGAAACAGTGGACAGGCTGATGAAAGGATACGACATTCGGTTGAGGCCAGATTTCGGAGGTAACGAGCAAATTGAAAACGGGAATGTCATGTTTTCACGCCCTCCTGACGTGCGATACATGTTTAATGAATCGCAAAATCTGCTTTCATTTACATAATTATCCCTTCACAGTCAAATAGGCCTTTCCAATTAGCCCAAGAGAGATGGTGTGCATATATTTCATATGATGATGGGGGGCTTTTAACGTGATCGATACCGCTCATCAATGTTTGATTACGCCGCTAAATAAATGAAATTAACACCATTTAAGCTCATCTGTGTATCAAGCGTGTAGGGTTTTTTTTTTTTCTTCATCGGGCTGATGATGCACAAGCCTTCTGTAGGTGCGGGGTTCGGAGAGGAACCTGCGCTGGCGTCACGAATTTGTTAAAATTTACATGATGGTGAGAATAATTCATGTCCCGTGTCAATGCCTCCTTTTTCACCACCCCCTTCCTTCCTTCACAGGTGCCCCGGTGGCTGTGGGGATGAATATAGACATAGCCAGCATAGACATGGTCTCAGAAGTCAACATGGTAGGTGAATCTTTATTATCATTACCGCCCGCTTCATGTTGCCAAATTTACCTGGCACGGCCGCTATGTCCTCTGAAGTGAGCTATACTTATCATGGGGGCAGTATACGTGATGGAGCCAGGTCGTTAATTACATTTAGAGGTGGGGGGGGTTTTAAAAAAAATGTGAGGGCTTCCGTCCCCCCTCCTACTACCCCAAACACATCATCGCCATCCTCTCCTCAGTCTCCGCATTTGCAGTTCTGGTGTGTTGCTGCATTTGAATTCAAAACACACACTCACTGGCGCACTCGGACGCACAGCCCCGGCTGCGCGCACGGAGAGAGCTGCTTCTGTGTGTGTGTGTGTTTGGGTGCGTGTCACTGCTTCACGTTGTCAAGCCTCGGTGCTGTAATTTTGTTGCCTCTCTCTCATACACACGCACAAAACACGCAAAAAAGAAGGAGACCTACCTTTCCACCTTTCCTCTAAATGCGCATAATTTCGCTCTTTTTAATTCAACGGCCAATCTCATCATCAACCTCTACGCAAGCGATCTCCCCTCTATTTGTCAGATGACGTCAGCAATTTGTTATTAATAAATGTATAATCACACGGCGGTGGAAAAGAACCCCCCCACCATCACACACACAAAAAAGAAGGAGGGTGTGTGTGTGTGTTTTGGTTCGGGGGTGCACAAAGATGTAGAACTTCTGCGACTTGGAGATAGGGCAGATGGGTGGGGGGGGATTTAAGCAGCCCATGCAAGAGCACCACCTATTGATCCGTGTGACTGACAGACAGACGGACCACTGCAGCACACATGACACTGCCAAGCAGTTTAAGCTACTTCACTGCAGCTGTAGGGCATCAAATACTGTCTGCCTCCATTGTAAAATTAGTGGTTTTGCTCATGGGAGGAGGGGGAGGGGTGGGGGGGTGGGGGTAATGAAAATATTAAGGCCATATTGAAGAACTCAGAGTGTGAGAAAAGATGATTTCTAAAGCAGCCTCTCTGCAGGGCAACATAATAGATGTGTTATATAAGAGCGTGAAAAA